TTTATTTTTGGGACAGAGAGAGACAGAGCATGAACGGGGGAGGGGCAGAGAGAGAGGGAGACACAGAATCGGAAGCAGGCTCCAGGCTCTGAGCCATCAGCCCAGAGCCCGACGCGGGGCTCGAACTCACGGACCGCGAGATCGTGACCTGGCTGAAGTCGGACGCTTAACCAACTGCGCCACCCAGGCGCCCCTCAACTAGAGTTTTAAATACTAGTGATCAAACATATCAGGGGGAAGCAAAGTAATCGCTCAGTGTGTCAAAAAGATCGTAATGGTAACATTAACATCTAGCTTTAGCTTAAGTCAGTCATAGGCTCAAACTTGTTGGGTTTAAATTTGTCATGTGAAAGGAAGAAATAGCAGTGGATAACAATACCTTGCTTTAAAGTACAGTGTAAATCAGCATATGAGTGAAGAAAGCATTGAACCTGACTTAGAACATATAATGAAACCCTATTAATACAGGCTCATATTTTCTGCATTTGGCTAAACTATGAGACAAATTGTATTACCTTCAAGGTAACCAACACATACTGGAAACAAGACATTTAACTATACTGATGGCCTCTAAAGCCACTGCAAATCCTGTCCTGGGTCCCCCAACTCAAAGAAGTTTCATTATGGAATACAAGCAGGGGAATCCTTTTAGCTAAATGTTCAGTTCTCATGCTAGCAAATAATGACAGAAATTTGTTATTTCTAAAACAACAAGAACATCAACGACCGCAACAAAAGGACTACCCAGTAGGAATGGAGTGAAATAAATAAGAAAGGATTTTAGAGGAATATTGAATTTGAGCTAAGGAATGTTAAAAAGTCAAACAACAAAGGCTAGCTACCCCACAAAAGTAACAGTAATCACCCCTCAGCTCAAAGAAAAAGGAAAAGAAGATAAAATGCTTGAGATAAAAATCTTCTAAGTTCAGTAGGATAACAGAGACCTCCGTTTGCAGAGGGCATCATTGAATAAATCCTGAACTCCAGTTTTAGTCCTGAATTCCTATTCTAGAATCTTTCTTCAAAGTATTAAAGTGATATTAAAGCATATTCAAGAACTTTGTCTTTTACATAAAACCTAGATGTACTGAAACACATGTATAACAAAAAAGAATACTTGGCAGTCTAAAATTTTTGCAGTATATAAAAAATTATCTTTTATATTTGAGGGCCACAAAAGCTCACTTGTTTTAAAATACATTCATTTTAGGAAGTTAGGATACAAGTGAGAAAGAAAGAAATGACAAGATTCATAGTTCCCTAACCTGACTTTGAAGTTCAGGAATGGTGCCCTCAGGTCTTTTGGAAGTCTCCCCCACTCTGGAGACCAAGAGTTAGGTAGAACCGTTCATAAAGTGGGCATGTGAAAATGAGTTATTTTAGAGGGGGAGGAGAAAGAGTGAGAAAATTATACATATGAATTACTTCTTTTTGCTTCATCCAGGCTCATTTGCTACACCACCAGACTCAATTGAAAATAGTAGCAGCTTTTTATAATAAGAAAAATCATATAGCAACAGGTACATGGGGGCAAAAGTTTTAAACAGTGATAGTGAGTTAATAAGATAAACAAGTTAATGCAAGTCGTTTTATAAAGTAAGTATTCTGAGTCAGAGAATTTCATTTTACTATTGTTAAGTATTTACATAGGAAGAGACCTGGGAACTGTTCATATAGCACATATAAGATGAAGGATAATGCTTTCTACTCAACCTCAATGATTATAAGTATTAAAAGGACTGAAAATTGTTCTTACCATGTAAGATTCTGAAACGCCATACATAAAAAAGTTAATCCGCTACTTCAATGAAAAGATAATAAACTGATTTAAATTTGTCTAGTTAATAATTTTTTGAAATTAAAAAAAATTTGGTCAAATATCTACTTGCATAGGGTAGTTTACTTATAATTTTTAATTATATGATTAAGGAAAATATTAATAATATTGCATATAAATAAATATTTCCAGGTACTATTTTCTACATTACCATCTAATATTCCGTTTTTGTGAAGTCATCAAAATAATATTTTGAAAAATAAATAATGTGGTGGGGGTGAAGGCTCATGTAACATTTAGAGGAAAATAAGAGTATAAAATGATATATACGAGTTCAAGAGTATAAAAATACTTAGATATTACTAGAAAGAAATAGATAAAAAAAGTTAAATGTTTATCTGCGTGGGAACATTCATGATGAAGAATTTTTACCTTCTTTATACTCTTTCTATGTTATGCATGCCTGTGTGTGTGTAACTATTTTAAGAAAGCTTCATATGAATGTACGTTAAAGATTACAGACTGCCTAAAGGAAAATCACATAATAGGTCTAAGAAAAACAACACAGAAGACTCACCATCACATGAAAGGGAAACATAACTTCCTAAGTCATCAGACATGTGCCGCATCACATTTTTACCCCTCTTCAGACCAAGGAAGATCCAATAATCTATCGCTGCTCCAAGAATTCCTGTGAGTAAGTAGGCTAGCTCATGTTTGAAGACCTAACATTAAGATGGGACAAATATTAGTAATGCATATTAAAATAGATGGTTTTTTTTATTAGTGTTTATTTCAAATACTTGTTGAGGCAAACTTAGCTATTTAAAATTAGAGTACGCTAACACTAAAAGGTGTTCCTGAGAACTGCAGCAAGCTAATTCCCTCTCTCCATTTTCTGCCTCTCCTTCCTCCCCCTATCCATATCTAAATCTTTATATCCATATGACAAAACCGCTAATAAAACAAAGCCTCCAGTACTTATATACAGACAGCTTAGAATAAACTTTTAAAATATCATTATTCAACAGTGTCAAGTGCTTTACTATGGCAGTAATTCCATTAAAACATGGAGGAGATATCTGGCTTCTGTGGATTTCTGTTAACAGGAATACAGAGATATTAAAAAAAAAATAGACTTAGCCATCCCTGTTTATATATAAAATTAAACTTTCCATTTCTCCATATGGCATACTCCAGAAAAAGACTTAAAAAACACAATGAATAAGAACTTTAGCAAACAAGATTGTTGTAAAGAAACAGACTGGTTAAAATTCTAATTATTAAATTGTATCAAGTTACATTACCTAATTTAGAGATGTATAGGGATCAATTCTTAAAGATGAGTATTGTTCTATATTATCACTTCTAAACATTAAATTCCTATAAAAAATAAAGCAAGCATACAAACTTTAATTACAGTAAGTATGCTTTACCCTAATGTGGAAAATCTCTAATTCACAAAATATGAAGGCAAAGAGGTATAAAAATATTTTTAAACACTTTTGATTTAAAAATTAACACTTTTCCACAATGACATTAAAACTAGTTGAAATTCCTTTACTTTCGGTATTTGTTCTTTAGGTGGGTTGGATGTGTGAAAAAAAATGCCAAATTAACAGCTGGGTAGAAAACATGTGAAAAGATTTTAATAAATAAATGTTATAGTATCCAAATAGATGGTAAGTGCTATGTTCCGCAACTATACTAAACCTAATATGGGGTTAAGGGCAGAGAAATCACGACCCATCAGAGACTACTGGATTTCTTTCTCCTGCCTTCAGCAGACAAGGTTCCTACAGTGTAAAATATTTCATAAGAGTACCATCATTCCTTATTATAAGAAGCTATTACTAACTTCAAAACTAAAGTTCTAGTTCTGGTTTGTTGTGCAAGCAGCACATACACCAGGCCTGCCAAAACAGTGTTTACTGAGGAAAAGCCCAGAGTCAGGGTGCTTAGGTAGGTGTGCAAGTTCCCTGTGGCTCTATCACACTGTATGGCGGTACTGCATTAAGGCAGGGCTGGACATTAGAATGTGAGAGAGAGACTATGAAGAATGGGGCCGAGGAGATTTTAAGCTGCATGGTTAGGGAAGCACTACCCTTCCTGTAATATCATCAGGAGCCTCAACACAGAACCTTGACCACAGCTCGAGGCTGCCAGGTCAGGATTCATGACTGGGCATCAGCACCACCCTCTCGCCCACCCTGATTAGAGGGCTGTGTTTAAGTCTTGCAGTTGCAGCTGTGTGACCCGGGCAGCTAGCAGTAGGACTGGCTGTATCAGCAGGCGGGAAAGTACCAACTCCTCCCCTAGTACCCTGGTAGGGTCCCGAGCCATAAGCTGACCACAACTCACTCCCTTAGGCATTGAGTCTTAGCTAGTCTTCAAAGTAGTTTGCAGGAAGCCAACTCTTGACTTTGTAAAGCCAACATGGAAATAATCACTCTGAGCAAGTTTTATTTCTCAGGGTTCAACTTATCAAGAGAACATAAAACAGGACAGTGAGAATCTACATTTGAACTAAAAGTTGATCATATCGAGATCCATGCTGCAGAATGTTCCTTGCAACAAAATGTTTATCTGAATGTCAGCAATGACACTACTTAGGAAACTATCAAGAGATTGGCAAATTTTGATTTCACAAAATATTCTCCATCCCAAGAGTAGAATAAATCAGGATCACTTCAGATCCCTAGTCATAAGGCTCTGAATAGGGAAAAAGGAGGTTAGCCCACAGAGCTAAGTCTCATGTAAAACCATAATCCAGCACTCCATCAATTAAAAAAAAGACCCCACAAAATCAACCAGTTGGGACCTTTCTCTTTCCTTACACAAATGTAAGTACACATGTACTTGGTACCACAAATTAATTTTGATAGTGCCTATTATCCAATTTACCTTGATACTACTGTTATTAAATAGAGACAGGTAGTACTTGCAAGGAATTACTGTAGCTTCTTTGCCATGGTAAGAAAGATCTTGTTAAAATTATTCTTACCCGTGTGACATTAGCTAAGCATCCATACTACCACATATTCATTATAGTAAATTTTTATACAAAAAGACACTTTCAAATCAGGGTTTTGGACCCTTTCACGTTATATTCTTATCTATGCCACTCACCGTCACCACAGGGCCAAGATATTGCACTATGGACTGTACTCACTGTGACTTTAACAGTGTATAAATAATGCTACCAATTCTAACAGAGTGAATATATATGATTTAGAAGGAGATTAGTGAGAATATGGCAAATACATCATCAAGGGAGACAAGCTTTCCTGGAATATTGAAATGTTTGCTAAAGCTGAAAGAACAGAAAACCCTGAGAATTAACAAACAAATGAAAGATAGACATGATCTGCACATGACATACATTTATCTTAGAATCCCCTTTCTAATGTGTTAAAGTCTATTATCAGACATTTTGTCAATACAGTTCTCTAGTGTCTCTATTGACTGCCAGTACAAGTAATCTCCATTGAATCAATCAATTTGGTGATCTTCCAAAAACCGACTAGTGTATCATGTAGAACAAACTACAATCTTGGCCTTCCGACTCCCAGGTTAGGGCTTTACATAATATCCCATGGCAATAGAGGACACATGGCTCCTCTAGTACCTCTGTCAGAAAGATGCAAACATAATACACATAATGTGCCTCTTCCTGTTTAAAACACTGGCATCTGAAGCAAGAGAAAGTATGTTGCAATGGAGACTTGGCCCCTAGTCAAGACTTTGCCCTAACAAGCTGTGACACCTTGAAGAAGTTCCTTAAACTCTTTAGCCTCAATTTCCTTATTTTTAAATACAAAGTAGCTTCCAATTTCTACCTATAATAGTAGGGTTATCATTAAATAGCACTTAAAGACATCACAAAGAAAAGTAGGACTAACCACCAAGCTTAGCAAAATTTATACCTCCCTCCTAACCTTGACACAGCTCACCTCTGCTCTTTGCCAAGGAAAGCCCAAAGCTTTCTCAGATTAATGACAATGAAATTCACTGCCATTGTGTCACTCTGCAACACTTGCTGATTGACATTATGACAAAACAATATTAGCATAAACTGAGGACTTCTGTTTAGCTAATGACTTAAATTGAATGCTTCAACTCAGCAAATCAAGAAACAAATGCTTTATAGTACAGAAAATGATGTCTGTGAACATGCATGGAATTCTTGAAATTGGAAACTGCCAAAAAGATTTAATTAGTTCAAGAATGAATTCTAGCAGATAAGGTAACACATACACACAAAAACCAGTTTATATGAATTTACACAATTCAAATGTTAAATAAAATATTAATCTGTGAAGTTTAAAGTTTAATCTGTCAAGTTCTAATATTATAACCGATGCTACAACTGCAATGCTTCACAAAATGTTTAATTTATTTAAAAATCTGAACAAAAATCTTTAAGTTAAATACGGGTAAATCTGTTATTATTTACATCAGCATTTCCTGAGTAAATTTCTATCTTTGACAGTACTTTTGTAAAACTGTGAAAATGTCAGTGTTATTATTATTTTCAGTTATAAATGAGTAATTTAATCTATATAACCCAAATGGATAAAAAAGAAATGCTCCATAATAAGAAAATATTTTCTATCCCTAATGATTCTATGATCTAAAAAGTACATAAAAAGACAGTAATTAATAAGAATGTTACCAGTTTTTTTTTTAATTTTTTTTAACATTTATTTATTTTTGAGACAGAGAGAGAGAGAGCATGAATAGGGGAGGGTCAGAGAAAGAGGGAGACACAGAATCCGAAACAGGCTCCATCCAGGCTCTGAGCTGTCAGCCCAGAGCCCGACGCAGGGCTCGAACCCACGGACCGTGAGATCATGACTTGAGCGAAGTCGGACGCTTAACCGACTGAGCCACCCAGGCGCCCCAGAATGTTATCAGTTTTATCTTAAAAGTATTACAGAAGTATTAAACTCAACTGCCGATGAAGTATCATTTTATGTTGACTAACTTATACACATGTATATAACCCTTTTTTTTTAACCCTGTTTTTTATTTTATTTTTATTTAATTTTTTTTTTTTCCTCAACGTTTTTATTTATATTTGGGACAGAGAGAGACAGAGCATGAACGGGGGAGGGGCAGAGAGAGAGGAAGACACAGAATCGGAAACAGGCTCCAGGCTCCGAGCCATCAGCCCAGAGCCTGACGCGGGGCTTGAACTCAACGGACCACGAGATCGTGACCTGGCTGAAGTCGGACGCTTAACCGACTGCGCCACCCAGGCGCCCCTAACCCTGTTTTTTTAAATAAGACTACTCACTTGGTTATTGCCACATAATACAACTCCTTGGTCACAGAGACAAGCAATACTCGGAAATAATTCTCCCTTTTAATGCCAAATTAAAGAAAGTTTGGGGCCTTTAAAAGAATTTTCTTTTTTTAAAGCCTCAGGTACCACCTAAACAGAATTCTGAAAGACCAGTAAGGGCTTCCGTTTCTGATAATAGAGGCCTAAGTAATTCAAATATATGCTGTTAAAGAAGAAAACTAAAAATGTTGAATAAAATGGGTAAAACATCTTCTGGAAACCTATTAAGAAATTGCTAAGCCAAGATCTAGGAGAAGGTAAAAAGCCAAATGAGGCACTCAAAGCTAGATGACTTTACCCTAAGGACACTTGTTGAATCCAGAGAAAGAGCTGAGATATAAAACTGTGGTTTTTGGAGCCCAGAGGAAAAGGAGTATAAAAGCCACAGCCCAAGGCCTAATAAAAACTGTTTGTATTTGTAGCCCTGTACTTCACTTGGGATTACCCAGGAACCCTCAAACCTGGCAACAGAAATTCTCTCCAGAGGAAGATATTCTTTGTCATGTTATTGTTTTTACAAATAATTTTTCAAATGTGATTTATGGCATATAGTAAATGATAACTAGCTCATAAGAGAATATATAAAACACAAGAGAAGTTAACAGGAGAAAACAGGTAGACTTATGAAGCCTTCAGATATGCAACAGTCAGTCAAAGACTATAAATTTATTACTGCCACGTTGAAAAACGAAAGAAAACCTTGACTATTTTGTAGGCAACCAGAAACCATACAAACATGTCATAGTAATTAGGAAGTAAAAACGTCTAAAACTGGCAAAAATACAAAACGTAAAAATGCAATAGTCATGTTTAACAACATATTAGACACTACTGAAAAGAGACTAGTGAATTAAAAATTAAATAAAAAGACACTACCCAGAATGCTTCACATTATGAAAGACCTGAAAATCTAGATGACAGGGAAAAAGCACAGATGATACATGGAGAAAGTATAGTAAGTTTAATTGGAACTAAAAAAAGTAGAGCAGAAAAAGTCAATCAGAGGAAATATGAGAAGAGAAACTATGTAAGAATTTTCCTGGAGAAAGAATAGACTTATGGCCATTTGACACCAGAATTCTCCACCTAAAACACTATGCATTATCTACACAAACAAATGGTTAAAATAAAAAGAAAGAAAGAAAGAAAAAAGCAACAAATTTACAAAGTAGATTCAGAAGTATTAATTAAGGCAATTATTAAATTTGACTTAAAAGTGACAGAGAGGAATTTAAAACAATGGGGAAAACATACTGTTTACTCTGATCTTACATGGACTCTTAAAGTAAAGTTCAGTTAACTTCACATGCCAGAAATACAGGGCTCATTTTTTTAACTATAATTTACATTAGAAATTAACAAAAAAGCACAAACATATCCATTAATCATAACAAGAATATATCCATTTAGAAGTTTTAAAGCATATTAAAATGCTTCTTGAATCAAAGAATTCATAACTGACAATAAAAAACATTGGGGAAAAAAAAACACTAACAGCACACTGAAGTATTAAAACCTGTGAATAAATCTCAATCTGTAGTCAAAGGCAATTTATTTTGAGTATATTAGAAATAAGGACTAAAAAGAAAATAGATCCAAATATTCAAGATATAAAAGGAAAGAACTAAAAAAATTATGAACAGCTGAGAGACTCTTAATGACAGAGAACAGAGGGAGGTGGTGGGGCATGGGCTAGTTGGGTGATGGGTATTAGGGAGGGCACTTGTGATGAGCACTGGGTGTTATATGTAAGTTATGAATCACTGAATTCTACTGCTTAAACCAATATTGCACTGTATGTTCACTAACTATAATTTAAATAACATCCTGAAAAAAAATTATAAGCAGAAATCAATGATATTAATACACAAAAAGCAGACAATTAAGTCCCAAAGGCAGATTATTCTCAAGAGAAGAAAGGTGATAAATGGTTATTATGCATCCAAAACATGGCACAGTATGTTGCAATGCACCTTACATATTTCAGTGCATTTAATTTTCCCAACTACCCTTCAGACAGGTAATACACTAAAATCACCGTACTTTAAATTTCTAATGACAAGCAAGATCTACTTATGAAGAAATAACTAACAACCACAAAGGTAGTTTTAAAAACAAGTAAAACTTTCTATTTGTACACACAAAAAAATGTATGGACTCAGTTTTTAAAATCATAGGTTCCGTAAGAATTGAAATTGTACAAAAGTAAAAAATCTAGAGTAAGTGAATTCAGATATCTTAGCAGTAATGATCAAAAAACTGTCCCTAGCTACTACACCCAGATGTAAGATGATGAAGAAACCAACTTCTAAGGATCTTTTACAATAAAACCTAAATGAACAGAAAACAATGATACATTTGGAGAGATTTTACTTTTATTCAAACTGTTCAAAGAATAAAGACAAAAGATGTGTAACTCAAAGATGTGCTTTTTCATAGGTCATTATTCATCTGTAAATCAATTCTACTTACATCATTAGACTTGCATTTTTCCTTGTGAGAATATATGGTCCACTCCAAAAGCATATTTACTGGTTTGGTCAAAAGCCCAGAGGCCTCATTTCCTGACCAAAAGATTTCAAGAAGAATTGCTTTTCCTGTTATTTTCAGACTCTGAGAATCTGACCAGTCATACAACCTAATGAAAATATGAATCAAAGTATATTTTTATGCCAACTTGATCACTATAGTCATTAGGCATAATATCTTTTGCCATAACACAAAATGATCTAGTGATTTCTAAATATAGAAAGGGTGTAATATATAAAGATTTTAACAAAATTATAATAAAGAGCACAATATAAAAAATGGTCATAATTCAATATAATGATCAAAAAACAAATAGTAATCTAACTGCATGTCTTAGAACATACACAAAACTTATCATGGATATTACAGATTCAATGTTAAAAAACCCAGTAGAACTTCCACTTAGGTATTCCATTACTTAAGAATTAAAAAATACATAAACCCTGAAAAATATATGAAATTTTACCTATCCAAATGTCTAAATTAGTGAAAAAAAAAAATGTGAACTGAAGCCACATAAAGAACATAAAAAACTTTACTGAAAGACTATGTCTACAACCATGTTTTAAAAACAAATCTACTTTAAACTAGAAAACAAGGTGACTTTTTAGATGTACATAAATTAGAAAAATAATACAAATTAGAAAAATAATACATAAAACAATATAAATATAGAAAAATTTTTCTTTATGATTAAACTTACTTTTGGCTCAGATGTCGCACTTCACTTTCCACTAAATTAAAGAAAAATTTGAGCAGGGTCAGGTGGAGCACCTTACTGCCAATAATATTTTTCGAAATTTGATGACAAAAACTTTCATTGTAAAGACAAGACCTGAAGAACATGAACCCAATAATTTGTAACATACAAGCAATTTAATGAATATTCTGTGGACAAAGTATTTCTTTGAGAGAATTATTAGAAATCTAATGAAATTTGCTTCAACAAACTATAAAACTAATCAACAATATTTCATTAGTATGTTTTCTTCCTTTAAAAATTAAACCATGTCAAATATCTCATGACATTTAATTTTTAGTAATACAGATCTCATTTCTGTTTGTAAACAACTGTAATATTTAATAGCCAAATGGTACTCTATTCTTTATTTCACTGATAAAGACCAAAAAATTATGTATTTCATTAAACACTTTCAATTCAGATGATAAGCTCTAGTCTCTTAGAATACTTTCTATAGTCCTCTTCTTACTCAAGATTATTTGTTGTTATTATCTAGTAAAATGAAGGTCATTTAAGGCTATTTTTTAAGAGTTTAAAAAATTTAATATTGGGGCACCTGGGTCATTCTGTCGGCTAAGCATCTGACTCTAGATTTTGGCTCAGGTCATGATTTGGTTTGTGGGATAGAGCCTCCTGCCTCCTGTTGGGCTCTATGCTGACAGCACAGAGTCTGTTTGTGATTCTTTCTCTCCCTCTCTCTCTGCGCCCCCCCCCCCCGCCCCCGTACTTGGGTGTGAGTGTGTTCTCTCTTAAAATAAATAAATATGCATTTTTAAAAATTTAATATTTTCTTTTCATCTACTATAGCCGTACTGTCCAACAGAACTTTCGGTGATGATGGGATATGTCCTGCTGAACACGTGAAATGTGCAACTGAAGACTTGAATTTTAATCTTAAATTTATTTATTTATTTATTTATTTATTTTAATTTTTTTAACGTTTATTTATTATTGAGAGAGAGAGATAGAGAGAGAAAGAGCATGAGCAGGGGAGGGGCAGAGAGAGGGGGAGACACAGAATCCGAAGCAGGCTCCAGGCTCCAAGCTGTCAGCACAGAGCCCGACACGGGGCTCGAACCCACAAACTGCGAGATCATGACCTGAGCCAAAGTCAGTTGTCAACCAACAGAGCCACCCAGGCGCCCCTAATCTTAAAATTAAATATGGTCACATGTGGCTATTGGCTACTGGGTTGGACAGCAAAGTTGTATAGTTTTTTTTTTAAAGAGGGTGTGCAATTACTCAGAAGTCTAGGACTAAGAAATCCTACGTAACAATACTTATAATAATGTTCCAAATTTATTATCAATTATATAAACAATGTACTTGTAATTTTCTACCTGTCTCCACCTTTCCCATCTTCTTTTTGAATACCACATTGTCAGGTTAGGAGGGTCATGAATGACTGTTAAAATTTAATTTAACAATACTCAAATCTCTTCTAGAAGATGTTCTATGCCTATATAATTAGTCTATCTGAAAAGTGCCAGAGTTGGACACCATAGTATCTTTCATTTAAAAAAAAAAAAATTTTTTTTAAAAATTAAAAAACCCAAAAACATATTTTAGGGAATATTTCAAATATATTTAAAAGTAGACTAATATTATCCAGCTCATCTATATGTCTACCACTTCCCTAAACACCTTCTTTCTGACTCCCAATGAACCCAATTGTTTTGAAATGAAATCTGGGTATTTGTTTATTAAAAAGTCTACTTGTAATTCCACCTCCTATTGCATCAATTAATTGATCTGAACATTTATTAAGCATTTATTACATTCCAGATATTGTATTAAGACTAAGGATAGAGATGTTTAAAACTGAGCATTTAAGTGAATAGATGGGAAAACATTATGCAAATGGAAGCAAAAAGAAAGCTGGGGTAGCAATACTTACACCAGACAAAACAGACTTTAAAACAAAGACTGTAACAAGAGACAAAGGACACTACATAACCAGAAGGGAATAATCCAAGAAGATATAACAATTTTAAGTATTTATGCACCCAACATGGGAGTGTGAAAATAAATAAAGCAACTAGTAACAGACATAAAGGAAGAAATCGAGAGTAATACAATAGCAGTAGGGGACTTTTAACACCCCGTTACATCACTGGATACATCAGACAGAAAATCAACCAGGAAATAGTGCCACTGAATGACACATTGGACCAGATGGATCTAACAGATATATTCATAACATTCCATCCAAAACCTGCAAAATACACCTTATTTTCAAATGCACACAGAACATTCTGCAGAAAAGATCACGTTAGGCTACAAAAAAATGTCAACAATTTTAAAAAGATTGAAATCATATCCCGCATCTATTCTGACCACAAAGTATGAAACTAGTAATCAACCACAAAAAAAAAAAAAATTGGAACACAAATACACAGATGTTAAATAACATGCTACTCAACAATGAATAGGTCAACCAAGAAATCAAAGAGGAAATAAAAAAATACATAGAGATGAATGAAAATAAAAATATAATGGTCCAAAATCTTTGAGATACAGCAAAAGCTGTTCTAAGAGGGAAGATTATAGCAATACAGGTCTATCTCAAGAAGAAAGAAACATCTCAAGTAAACAACTTAACCTTAAACCTAAAAAGAACAACCAAGCCTAAAGCCAACAGAAAGAAGGAAATTATAAAGATTAAAGCAGAAATAAATGAAATAGAGACTTAAAAAAAATCAATGAAACAAGGAGCTACTTTTTTGAAAAGGTGAACAAAATTGACAAACTAGAAACAGGACTCAAACAAATTCAGAAATGAAGGAGAGGAGAAATAACAATTTAAACCATAGAAATATAAAGGACTATATGCCAACAAATTGGACAACATAAAAGCAACATAAATTCCCAGAAACATATAACCTCACAAAATTGAATCAGGAAAAAAAAGAAAATTTGAACAGACTGATTACTAGCAATGAAAATCAGTAATCAAAAATCTCTCAACAAACAAAAGCCCAGGACCAGATGATTTCGCAGGTGAATACTACCAAACATTTAAAGACAATTTAAAACTTACTGTTTTCAAGCTATTTCAAAAAACAGAGGAGGAAAAAAAGCTTCCAAATTCATTCTGAGGCCAGCATTACCTTGATACCAAAACTGGATTAAGATCACAGAAAAAAAGAAAACTCTAGGCCAATAACTGATAAAGATGTAAAAATTCTCAACAAAATATTAGCAAACCAAATTTAACAATACATCTAAAAAACAATTCATCACGATCAAGTGGGACTTATTCAGGGGATGCAAGAGTAGTTCAATATTCACAAATCAATCAACATGATACATCACATCAACAAGAGAAAAGATAGAAACCATATGATCATTTCAAGAGACACAGAAAAAGCAGCTGATGAAGTACAAAATCCATTCATGATACAAACCCTCAACAAAGTAGGTATTGAGGGAACATACCTCAACATACTAAAGGTCACTTATGAAAAACCTACAGCTAACATCATCCCTAATAGTGAAAAACTGAGAGCTTTCCCCCTAAAGTCAGGAATAAGACAAGGATGTCCACTATCACTACTTTTATTCAATATAATACTGGAAGTCCTAGTCACAGCAATCAGACAAGAAAAAGAAATAAAAGGCATCCAAATTGGTAAGGAAGAAGTACAACTTTCACTATTTACAGATGATGATGGGATACTATATATAGACAATGTTAGGGGTGCCTGGGTGGCTCAGTCAATTAAGCAACCAACTTTGGCTCCCGTCATAATATCACGGTTCTTGAGTTCAAGCCCTTCATCGGGCTCTGTACTGACAGCTCACAGCCTGAAGCCTGCTTCGGATTCTGTGTCTCCCTCTCTCTCTGCCCCTCCCCTGCTCACGTTCTGTCTCTCTCTTTCTCAAAAATAAATGTAAAAACAAAAAAAAGAAAAAAGAAAAAAGAAAATGTTAAAGACTCCACCAAGAAACTATAAGAAATGATAAATGAATTCAGTCAAGTTGTAGGATACAAAATCAATATATAGAAATCTGTTTTATTTCTGTACACTAGTAGTGAAGTAGCAGAAAGAAAAAATTAGGCAACCATTCCATCCACAATTGCACCAAGAAGTATAAAATACATAGCAATAAACTCAACCAAGGAAGTGAAAGAATTGTTCTTTGAAAACTATAAAACACTGATGAGAGATACTGAAGGTGATACAAAGAAAAAGCAAGATATTCCAGGCTCATGTGCTGGGAGAACCAATATTGTTAAAATGCCCACACTATTCAAATTAATCTAAAGATTTAACGCAATCCCTACCAAAATATCAACAGCATTTTTTACATATACAGAACAAGTAATACTAAAATAGAACCACAAAAGGCCCCAGTAGTCAAAGAAATCTTAAGAAGAATAAAACTGGGGGTGCCTAGGTAGTTCAGTTGGTCAAATGTCTGACTTCAGCCCAGGTCATGATCTTGTGATTCTTGAGTTCGAGCCCCATGTTGGGCTCGGTGCTGACACCTCTGAGCCTGGAGCCTGCTTCAGATTCTGTGTCTCCCTCTCTGTCTGTCCACCTCCCACTCACAATCTGTCTCTCAAAAATTAGTAAACATTAAAAAAAATAAATTAAAAAAAAAGAAAAGAATGAAACTGGAGGTATCACAATCGCCGATTTCAAGATATAGTACAAAGCTGTAGTAATCAAAAACCATATGTACTGGCACAAAAAGAGACACACAGATCCATGGAATAGAAGAGAAAGCCCAGAAAGAAACCCACAATTATGTGGTCAATTAATCCATGGCAAAGAAGATTAAGAATATATGAGAAAAAAAGACAGTCTTTTCAACACATGGTGTTGGGAAAACTGGACAGACAGCTACATGCTAAAGAATAAAACTGGACCACTTTCTTACACCACATGCAAAAATAAATTCGAAATGGATGAAAGACCTAAATGTGAGACCTGAAACCATAAAATCCCTAGAAGAAAACACAGGCAGCAATCTTTTTGACATCAGCTGCAGAAACATTTTTCTAGGTATGTCCCCTAAAGCAAGGAAAATAAAAGCAAAATTAAACTACTGGAACTGTACCAAAATAAAATGCTTGGATCTAGCAAAAGAAACCATCAACAAAACAAAAAGACAGCCTACTGAATGGGAGAAGATATCTGCAAACGATATATCTGATAAGGGGTTAATAGCCAAAATATATAAAGAACTTCTACAATGCAACACCCCCAAAAAACAAATAATCTAATTAAAAATGGGCAGAAGATATGAACAGACATTTCTCCAAAGAAGACTTCCAGATGGCCAACAGACACTTGAGAAGATGCTTGACATCACTCATCGTTAGGGAAATGCAAATGAAAACCACCATGTTATCACCTCACACCTATGAGAAAGGCCAAAATCAAAAACTCAAGAAAAAAACAAGTGTTGGCAAGGATGTGGAGAAAAAGGAACCCTTGTACAGTTGGTGTTAATGCAAGCTGGTGAAGCCACTTTGGGAAATAGTATGGAGGTTCCTCAAAAAATTAAAAATAGATATAACCATATGATTCAATAATTCTGCTCCTGGGTATTTGCCCAAAGGAAATAAAAACACTAATTGGAAAATATATGCATTGTGTTTACTGCATTATCTACAATAGTCAGTGTATGGAAGCAACCCAAGTATCCATCCAGAGATGAATCAATTTCTTTACAATGGAGTATTACTCAGCCATAAAACAAAAAAACAAAAACTCTTGCCATTTTCAACAACATGGATAGATCCACATGGTATAATGTTAAATGAAAAAAGTAAGTCAGAGAAAGCCAAATACCACATGATCTCACTCATATGTGGAATTTAAGAAACAAAATAAATGAATAAATAAACAGACAAAATAAACCAAACTCTTAGATACAGAGAACAAACTGGTGGATGTCAGAAGGGAGATGGATGGGTAGGTAGATGGCCAAAATAGGTATTGGGAATTAAAGAGTACACTCACCATTATGAGCACCGAGTAATGTAAAGAATTGTTGAATCGTTATACTGTATGTCTGAAACTAATATAACACTGTGTGTGTTAACTATACCTGAATTAAAAAAAAAAAAAAGCCTTAGAAAAACTGGGCATCTACTCTTGAAAAAGTCAGAAGCTGAAGTGAGTGACAAACAACTTAGAGGAAAGGGCAAGAATTATGAAGTGGCATCTGAGTTATAAATTGAAGTATAATTAGGAATTGGCTAGATATTCATGGGGTTCAGGAATAGAGGTATATTTAGGCAGAGAAAATATAAGAGCAAAGGGATAGGAAATGAAAAATAGTTTAGTTACTGAGCACATTTGGGAAAATAATGAAGATGAGAATAGAGCCATATACAGCAGCTAAATCACAAAAGGTCTTACATGTTTTGCTAAGGAATTCCAATTGTCTCTTATAGGTGATGTGTCAGTTAATGGAAAACTTTTATCTGGGAAATGACAACATTACTTTGGTAAGAATATACTGAGGTACTTTGGAAGATAAAGGGCAAAAAGTAGAATCAAGATCAATAGAGCAGGTATTGCAATAGTTTACATATGAAGCCATATGTAAATAATGCTTTTTACATAATAATGACAATAACATAGTTTACATATGAAGCCATATATAAATAATGCTTTTAAATAATGACAATAACAGTAAAGATGCAGATTTGTAAATACATAACCCACATATCTTCACATTTTATACAAATGCTGGACTAGTACTGGTGCTTTAGAATTGTATTTATATCTCAGTCACCTTCAAAAGTGAAGGAACTGGCGCCTGGGTGGCTCAGTTGGTTGAGCACCCAACTTCTTGAGTTGCTCAGATCATGATCTCAAGGTTCGTGAATTCCACCTTCTGCAGAGCTCTGAGCTGACAGCAGGGAACCTGCTCACAATTCTTTCTCCCTCTCTCTGTGCCCTTCCTCTGCTCACGTGTGTGCCTATGCTCTCTCTCAAAAATAAACAATCATTTTTTTTAAAAAATGAAGGAACTGCTTTTTTATTTATTTTTTTATCCCCAGATAAAAAAAAGATATCCCCTATATGTTGTACAGTGCCTGGCTCCCAATAAGTACTCAATAAACACTTGTTGAAAGAATTAACAAAAAGCATGCTAGCCAGGTGATTAGTTCACTTCCAATATATCACAACCTTTATATCTTTATATAATCTCAAAGATATAATCTTTATAATCTCAAAGAGATAATCAAAGGTCTAGCCTTTGCCTGGCTAGTCAAGCATCCTTTCTCTCACCATGATGGAGTGTCCTAAAACTGAAAACTTGGATAAGGAAGTACTTTCCAAACAAAAGCAGGCTACCAGATACAGGGAGCTATCCGAGAAGAAAAAAAAAAAGAAGAAACAAAAACAAACAAAAAAAACCTTCATGGTTTGGTACAAAGAAAGAGAATTAAAAAGGATTTCCAGAGAAACATCTTCAAGACAAAAAGAAGAATCTCGGAAGAAAACATGCAGAGACACAAAAGGAATGACTCTTTAGGGAACACTAATTTGTTTCAAAATTCAGATTTCTAGCTAAAAAAAACCCACAAAACACTGTAAGAGAGAATATATACAGATACCAATGTTTACACTTTTGATGACCAAAATTTGATGATCTCTATATTCAATAAATTTTAATTAGATTTTAAAACAATATATACACATATAATTTTGTTAAAAAAATCAAAACAAATAATGATTTGCTTTTCCTGTCTATTTCATTAAACTTCTTTCTTTTGTAAAGAAACTAAATGACAAATATGACCAATCTAGACTTGACCTTTTTGTGAGTTTTATAAGAAATACAACAAACATATTATACACACACATAAACTTTTTCTAACATGAAATGTACTTCTTTCACTTTTGTCTAAAACATATATAGCAAAATGAGATAAAATTAAGTATCCTCACATGTCAAATTCCTTACCTGATAAGCACTTCTATGAGAGACCATGCTCCTTTCATACAAGTTGGACACTGAAACAGCTCTAAGTAATATCTTGACATGGCTGGGGACTTCCAAGGAGGATGTAGGTGAAGAAGAGCAGACAATATATGAAAGTATCGGCCAGAAAATGTATCTATGTTATCCTATTGTTTAAAAATAAACAAACAAGTAAAACACTACAGCTAAAAATTCACTTTAACTGTTCCTCTAGCCTAAAACTGTAATAACCATGACCTAACTTTCTTCCCAAATAGATGTATTTGGAAGTTATTATATTTAACTAGTTAAACACTGCAACTGAGAAAGACACACATTCTAAATACGTTTCTATACATTAGGTAATCCCAGCTATTGACACTAACTTATATGAAATGTTCACTCTACTTTTCATGATTATAGTGAGATTAAGAGTGGCCAAATGTGACCTGAGAGGAATTAAAGGTAAAAAGCTTTTCATGCAATATGCTTAGTTATCACCAACATTAGTCTGACATAGCTTAGGTTTGTTATTTCTTCAAATTGGCACTATGATGAAGAACATAATTAGAAAGCTACCTTTGAGAAGCTGTTCTTACTGGTATTCACAGTTTAAGGAATGTGTTTATTGTCTGCATATACTATGAATAAAATGATTATCACTGTACAAATGGCTTTCCTGATCATTGTTATCAGATTTTTATGTTAGTTACTTTACCGCCACAGAAAAAATCAGATAAATTTTTCCTAAGAGAAAATTATCTTAGAGATTCTAAGAAAGTAAATTACATCACTCAAAGTAGTACCTAGAAAATAGTTTAAAAGTACCTAGAAAATAGTTTAAAAGTAAAAAGAAATGGGCCGCAATCTCAAGTCTTGGACTCGCTGGGATGCACCAGAGAGATCTAACACCCAGTCCTTATATAGTCTTTATGAAAAACGAACCTTGTGCCTGCAGGAGATCCACGTTCCCACCTGGACACATGTGGGAAACCAGGCCTCCACAAAAGTGCTGCCTCCTAGCTCAACAATGGGATTATCTAAAAGGAAACATGAGGGAGGTAGTAGCCCTCTCTTCCCTCTGCACCTTCTTCTGCATCACCTAGCCTAAAGTTGTACCGTCCTCCACCAAAGTAGCAGAATATACTTCTCCCATCCCAAACCAGCATCTGAAGGATTGCAGAATGACTCAAGTTCCTTAGTGCATTTGTAAAACAGCTCACCCAGTGAAGACAATGAAGATTACTGACAATGCTGCTCTGCTTTTTCTGACATCCTGTACCAGGTAAATCGTGTTTTTAAATCTTATGCTATAATCAGCATAATTTCACCTCTTGAATTTGGATGAGTTCTGGGACATAACCAAGATCAGGCTGTAGACATCTAAGAGTGAAGGCCAAGGCCTGGATCCTGGTGAACTCACCAAGACAAATCACTCCTGTGAGATGCTCCTGTAGCAGCCAATCAATGCTCTCTTTTGTGCCACCAAGTCCTTGCTGTGTAATTTTGAATTCCTACAAATTCATTAAGGTCCCATTTTGTCTCCCATTGCTGTGTTAGTTCTATGGGACTAATAGTAAATTGTGAATTTTTAGCAAATGTTTTGTAATAACTCCAAATACAAAATATACGAAAAAAAAGGTAATATATGGCTACAGCATTTCTTATTAAAATGAGGGAGGGGCACCTAGGTGGCTTAGTTGGTTAAGCGACCGACTCTGGATGCTCAGGTCATGATCTCGCAATTGAGGAGTTCAAGCCCCACACTGCCTTGCTGTTGTCAGTGCGGAGTCCATATCTTCTGTCCCTCTCTCTGCGCCCTCTCCCCCACTTGTTCTCTCTCAAAAATAAAACATTTAAAAACAAATTTTAAAAATGAGGGGAAAATACTGAAAAGACAAACTGTAAATACATAAAAAATGAGAATGTCCGTATTTTAACATTCTCTGAAAGATTATAAACTCCTAGGACTACTCTTACCTGCAGAATGTTCTCTAGGAGAGCATGAAGAAGGCATACAGGGGGGATATAATGTGCCTGTAATGAGGAAAGCTCTTCAATCGCCTCTTTAAAAAACTGTCCTTCTATGAGACTTTCAATTAAATTTAATACACCTCTGGGAAATTCAGCATTTTTAGCCTAAAAAAAAAAAAAAAAGATTCAAGAACTCAAAAGAGAGAAAAATTTGGGGAGCAAATCAAATTAGTAAGGAGACTTAATTTTCCTATCTGTAAAATGAAGACAATTCCTGACCTCATGACTTCACAGGATTATTACGTGGTTCAAAAAGATTATTTATATGAATGTGTTTTATAACTATAAGGTACTATAAAAATATACATTATTAATTGATTTACTTATTATTCTCTGTTGCCTTAAATAGTAAGAGGAAATACAACCACTAAAGGAAAACTTTAAAAGGCATTTCCAAAGTATGGCTGATAATGAGGAGACCTCAGAACTAAAACTACACATAGTTCTTTAGGTGCAAAATTATTTTTTGGTTTTCTTTAAGCTTACAAGCAAACTACATCTATTAAGATATACTAAAGAGATTAAGATGTCACCAAGCACAATCAATGTTTGCAAACAGTTACAATTGCTATTGTGTCACAGAATCACTCTGAAGATGCACATTAATATAACTCTAAGAGTTGAATGACCCCTTGGTCAAAATATAACTACAATGAAATACTGTGAAAGACTACATGAGATAAATTGTAAAGCAATGAACAATATAAAGGAAATATGTACTTTGATAAATATTAAATTGAAAATTTAATATGGAAGTAGTAATCATAAAAGCTGGGAAATGTGAGAACAGGGGTATATAACTCATCCATGATGAGCACAAGGTAAGTTTTTAATTCTCATTATCAGTTTTTATTACCATATACAATTTTTTCAAAGCTTTAATAGAATATTACTTTTTTTTCATTACTGATTAGAGAACGTACATTTCACATTTGATGGCAAGCTTTGCTACACAGACAACACAGTCCTTTGTATCAAAATAACTAACAATGACAAAACACAAAGTTTATTTTTTGCCCCCATCACCACACTGCTCCAAGCCCCTTACCTCAATATTGTACACTGGTTGTTTATCTATTCTAATGCAGCTGTATCTGATAGCCTACAAAATAGCAACCATATTACCAAAATTAATAATTTTTTTTTTCAGATAGAACAATACATTATAGTGTATAAAAAAAATAAAACCTTGGGGAAACTTACAGAACAGACTCAGAGGCATATTAATAGCTATAATTGATCTGGAACATGCTCTATTTTCTCTTTCTAAACTAAAATAACTTAAAAATTAAAGTCATATTCGCTCTGAAGAACTGAAGAGGTCCACTGTCCTTAGTATTTTAATAATTAGAAATACAAATGGGAAGAACATTTTGTATAAAAGTCCAGAGAATAAAAAATATAGTCATGTTTTCTATACAATAACCATCTTCCTCCACTGTTCTAAAATATCTATAATTGTATATTGGTTTCAAAGATTAGACTGGAAAAACATTTGCAACCAACATAAAAAGAGATAATAATCTGATTATATAATGAGTTTTAGATACAATGATATAAAATAACCTAATGGAAAACTGAAAAAGAATCTAAGTATGCAGGTGACAGAGACAGAAATACACAAATGGTAAGTGAAGGTATAAAATATGCTCAAACTTGCTATTACCAAAAGAAATACAAATTAAAACAATAATAAAGCTTTGGCTTCCACCTAGGATGTAGAAGTGAAAAGCCATAAGCCTCTGGGTAAGTGAACAGGAAAAAAAAATCTTTACTCCTGAAGAAGTACAAGAAAAGATCAGGGTCCCCGATCATTAGCAATCTCCTACCACTGGGGGCAGGGCAAGATCACTGAGAAAGCCCTTTCCCCCAATCTCTCAAGAGCTGCCTAAAACTGAGGCTGACCCAGAACAAAGGCCATTATCCAGCCATCGTCCTCTAATATCAGGCTAGCAAGCATTACTGCACCAAGATACAGCAGTTTATAAACACCCAATTTATCTCTAGCGTCAGTGAGCTATAAATGGCAGAGAATTCAGCTTACTTATTAAATGTCCAAATACATTACTGTTCATAACAAAGGAATAAACAGAAAATTTTAAGATACGTTAAATATAATAATGAGTCATTACTATTATTATATTTTGGCTACACCAAAGGAGGACATGAAACTAGAGAAAATTTTAGTACGGCAAGTTCTACCTGAGCTCTATATATGTGCTTCCTTAGGTCATTTTTTATTTCAACAATATCCACATCTGTCCTGACATCCTTGGGATTTGATTCTTTGGCACCATCAGCAAAAATGGAATTCTTCATTTCTTTCTGCATACACATAAAAGTACTTTAGACAGTGTACTAAAGCAATTTCACCACAAATCTAAGTATAATGAACAAAAGAATACAAAAACAACTCATTCATGCAGCATTAATCTCAACAAAGACCTTTACGATCATATTTCATAAAAATTACAGAATTAAATAGAGTTTAAAGTAGCAAACATTTTAATTTGGAGAGTTTTACCTATTCCTAATCTTTCCTGGAATCTCTCCTCCACCTACTTTTTGTTGCCACGGTCACACATAATATGATTCATTATTTGTCTACCTTTATCATTTTTTCAAGATTTTTCTGAATATAGTATGTAAACATGCTGTAGTTTACATTAATTTGTACCCTAGAAAAATTAACTCAAGAGGGATCCCATTCAAAAGACAAGCCATCTTATGAAAAATAATGTGTATTATACCAGGGAAGAGAAAGACAAAAACTAACATTTAGATTAGGAATGTATTACCCAAACTACATACATATGTAGTCTCAAGGTATTTTTCATAGGAATTTTAGGAACTTTTTTAGAAATTTTAGCTTCTTTTTTCGGAAACTTTGTTTCTTTTTCTTTTTTGTGACAGGCAAAAAAGAATGCATTTTAAAATCCTGGCTATTAATTCAAATTTCTTTGTGTATGCATGTAAAAATACTTTCCTTATAAACCAAAGTTAATTATAACATTAGTTATAAATATCACACCAGACCAACTGAAGACAATTTTTTTCCATAAGATGTGCAGGTTATATTTGACACAGCAAGCAATATTAAAAATAAGATTCTATGTCTAGATTTTATTATAGAAGAAACAGAAAAAATGAACTGTTTAGCTGAGCTTACAAAGTTTTACCTCATCTCTATATATGTGCTTTCTTGAGGTACTTCTAATTTTGTTACGTTCAATGTCTTTCCTGGAATCTCTTTCATTTCCTTTTTTGCGTTTTTTCCTCAAAGTATAACTCCTTTGAACATCTTCATCCTTTTTCTTAATTTCCTTCTATAAGTATGTAGATCACAATTAAATCTCAATATGAATGATATGTATTACAAAATCCAAACAAACTCAAGGGTCTGACTTCTTTTTGTTTTAACATTTTTTTTAACATTTATTCATTTTTTGAGAGACAGAAAGAGAGTGCAAGCAGGGGAGGGGCAGAGAGTGGAAGACACAGAATCCAAGCAGACTCCAGGCTCTGAGTTGTCAGCACAGAGCCCGGGGGTGGGACTCAAACTCACGAACTGGCAGATCATGACCTGAGCCGAAGTCGGATGCTTAACCTACTGAGCCACCCACGGGCCTCTCAAGAGTCTGACTTCTAACACAAGTATACCCTGTTAAAAACATAATAGTTTTATACAAGAGGAAATCTCATCCACTGTTAAAGTGGGTATACATTAGTAAAACATTTTAGAAAACAGTTGGGCATTACCTACTACAGTTAAATATGCAGTCCTTACCACACAGCAAATCCACTCCATGGAATATATCCTAAACTAGAGAAACTCCTGAACACGTGTGCCAAGAGTCATGTAAGAAAATGTTCACACTGTTCATGGCACAACCGTTCATAACTGCAAATACAAACCAATCAAACACACACCAAGAAAATGAAACCCAAAAATTTACTTATATGAATCAATAAAATGGATAAAAGATAAAGTTGTGAAGGGTGCCTGGGTGGGTCAGCTGGTTGAGCGTCTGACTCTTTCATATTGGTTCAGGTTGTGATCTCACAGTGGTGGGATTGAGCCCCACATTGGGCTTCGGGCTCCTCAATGAGTATGGAGCCTCCTTGGGATTCTCTCTCTCCGTCTCTTTCTGCCCCTTCCCTACTTGCATGTGCTTTCTCTCAAAAACAAACAATAAAAAAAATTCTTAAAAAAAAAAAAAAAAAAGAGTTGTGAATCAATTAAACATTATATGCACCACAAAAAAAAAGTCACAGAAGGCTATCAATACCATAAATTATAAATACACAGCTGGCAAAAGTGTAATGAAAAACAAGAAAATAACACAAATGCCAAGATAGAGGTCATCTGTGGGTATGAGGGAGAAAAAGAGGACACAGTTTAGAAATGACACACAGCAGGATCTTACAAAACTGGTAATGCTCTTATTTCTTAACCTAGCTGATGCATAGATAGCTGTCACTTTTGCAAACTTTTAGAATTGTATACAAATGCCTCATAAACATTTTAATAATGTAATTACGAAGAAGCAATTTTATGAATATCATTACATTTGCTAAATTTAGAAAAGAGTTGTAAAATATAAATTATTTTTCATTTAGAAGATCTTACCTGACTTCCATACGTGCACCTTCCTAAGGCATCTCTCATTTTAACAAATTTCAAATCTTTATTGGAATCTCTGAATTTTTCTTTTTTGTGATGGCCAGTCAAAAGATAACTAACGTTAACATCTTCATCATGATTTTGCTTTTCTTTCTATGTGCATGTAAGAATACTTTAGTTAGACTGTGGATGCAATATAGCCTCAACCAATGCAAGTCACAATAGAAACACCTACTCATGAAGGCAGGTTTTCTGTAACATACATATGAGATTAACTATGGCAAAGAGCCTTGTGAATTGTATTACGTCTTAGTTATATGTGGATGAAGCAGAGAAATACACATTTTTAGTTCAGAAAGGTTTATACTGTGTTGACATATACATTTCATATAGGTACTTTTATTAACTTAGTCTTTCTTGGAATCTTTGTTCCTCTCTCCCCACCATTTATCATGTGACCAGTCAAAACACTATTGGGTTATTTATCTCCATTATTTTATTTTTCCAAATTATTTGTAAAAATAATTTTAGACTAGAGATCAAATAGAAACTTGCCATTATTAGGCATATCTAATAAAAACACCTCAAAAAAATCTTTTTATAGAACATAGGTTTAATAATAAACAGAGTAAGAAGTATTAAAACCATATTGCTTATATTCATTTTACAAAGTTATACACGCATTCTAAATTATATATATTCATTATATTAGTTACAGGCATATAAGGATTCAACAATTCTATACATTACGCAGTGCTCATCATGGTAAGTGTACTCTTTAACAAGTTCACCTATTTCACCCATCCTGTCACCCACCTCCCCTCTGATAATCACCAGTTCTCTATATTTAAGAGTCTGCTTTTTGTACAAAGAAACTTATTTTTAAAAATAGAAATTTCTACCTGAATTTTAAATCCAATATAAATTGATGTCTTTTTCTTAATTTCCCTATCTTTCACAAAAATCTCCATTTGATTTTTTCCATGTTAAATAAAAACTAAGTTTATTTTAGTAAGTCCATTTTATTTTATTTATTTTTTTTAATTTTTTTTTTAACGTTTATTTATTTTTGAGACAGGGCATGAATGGGGAGGGGCAGGGAGAGAGGGAGACACAGAATGGGAAGCAGGCTCCAGGCTCTGAGCCATCAGCCCAGAGCCCGACGCGGGGCCCGAACTCACGGACCGCGAGATCGTGACCTGAGCTGACGTCGGACGCTTAACCGACTGAGCCACCCAGGCGCCCCAGTAACTCCATTTTAAATTCCTTTCTATATGTCAAAATTTTTATACGATGGTTTATAATGCATTTTTCATAGACTGACTCAAAAAGCCTCTTATTAAGACCATGTACATGTAGTCATAGAAAGCAGCCTTATAAATCACATAAATATCAATTATACTTTGGAAAAGCCAGAAAAAATTGCATTAATATTTTAATCTGTTGTAAAGTTTTATCTAATCTCTCCATATATAATTTAAGGCACTGTTCATTTTATGAAGTTCCAAATACTACTTCAAATGCTCTTTGTAAAATTTCTGATGCAGTAAAAGATGCAGTGAAAACAAAATTTTTAATTTCTTTCTCATCACATTTAAAAACAGTTTAGGTTAAGTAATAATAATTACTAGGTATAGAACTTGGTACATCAACTAAAGAGTCTGTTTTATAAAACACAATATGAAACTGAGCATACTTAAACATTAGCTATTCTAGGATAAAACTAATAATGCCTTTTTTTGGTTGCTGCTATTTGAAAAATATTACATGAGAGCCACATACATGCTTCCTTAAGGTACATTTCATTGTTCCAAGTTCAAAGTACTTCCTGTTTGTTTTCCTTAATCAAAACAGAATTCATTTGTATCATTAAAAAAATTTTGTTCTGTATGCAGCAAAATACTAGACTTCAGATCATGAATTATGAATACACATATTGCTGACAGATAAGAGTCCTTTATAAGAAACACATCCATATTAAAAATACAGGGGAATTTTAAGTAATTCTCATGTGCTGAGAACACACTACATACTAGGAACTGTGTGTTTCTATATGCATATATGCATTATTTCAATAAGAGTCTGAAGAGACAAAGGGCAGTATCTTGGTAAGCTCAAATCACACACAATAAAACATAGAGCTGGGTTCAAACACTAGCTCTGATTCCAAAATTTGTGTTATTTCTACATTGCTATATTGCATCTCAAACAATTACATAAGAACCAGAAATATACATTTTTGGCCCATAAAGTTTTACCTGGGTTCTATGCATGGTCTCTTTTAAGGCACCTTTCATTTCAAGAAATCCCCTATCCTTCCAGAAATCTTTGTTTTTTTCCTGATTGCTATGTTTATTCCAAACAGAATTGGTCTGGGAATCTTCATCATTCTGAATTTCTCTCTGTACGTATATATAAATGGTTCAGACAATCAGTTAAGTATAATTTCAACATTATGTACTTTTTTATGTTAACCAAATGTATCTATAATTGCAAAATCCTTTAGTTAATAGGTAAAATGCATTCTCCTATATCAGAAGTTATTACCAATAAATTCTTTCCAGAAAAAAAAAAACAAACTTCAAAACAAAGGTCCTAATAAAGTGATTTCTATGTATCTCCAAAAAATGTAATGTTTTGTTGGTCTAGCAACAATTAATCCTTTTTATGAATAATCATGAACAGAAATATTTTATCTCATTCCTGACCAAGTTAAGGGTATAATATAGATAGAAAAGTTTCAGATTATAGGTTACATGCCAGATAATTTTTCAGCTTTTTACTGGTAAGACTTCTCATCGGAAAGTCTACTACATACTAAGAGGAAAAGAGGCTTAATAGATGAATTCACAGCTCCTATTTTACTTGAACAGAGATAAACAATCATTTTTACCTAACTCTATCTCAAATATTTAAAATTTCTTGCCAAGAAATCCAAACTGAATTCATAAACCACTTACCAATAATGTTAAAGACATTTGCATATGTACCTATACATAGAATTCTAAAAGTTTAGTGGGGTAAAGAGAAGGAAGCAAAGATGAGTTCCTAACAGATCCCACAATGCCCTTACAGAAGAGTATTCAGAGATTAACTACCTTTACACTGAGACTAAAGAATCACTGTCCTCTTAAAAAACAATTACGATAGAAATTGAAATGGGTAAGGCCTATGGTATCATCTTCGGTTCCCTTTCACTTGTACTGGGATTCCTGTGTACACAGACGGTCCTTTAAGCAGGCTGCAATCTTCCAATCAGAGAAGAATTCCTGGGAGTACCTGACGGACATCTTTCAGTTATTCAGGAAGGTAAAAACGAAAACTATGAAAAAGGAATACCTTTCTTCCTTCCTATTCCTGGCATGAAAGAAAGAAGTACTCTGAATGTACAAGCACACCTTGAAGTGGGATGAAAGTAAATATCTGGCTTTAAATTTTACCTGGTTGACAATGGGAGGATAAATCCTCAAGCCCAGATCATCAAAAAATGTCTAAAATACAGAATGAATTAATCCCACATGGATTCCAGTAAAACAGAATACTCAACAGAACATTCCATTATCGTTAACAACTAGCAAGAACATACTGTTTTCTAATCCTGAATATATTTACTTATGTATCTGCTTCAGATGTTATACACTGATCTGTGAATTAAGATTTATAATGCAGGTACTCTACATAAATTAAACAATTAAAAATCATAACCCGATAAACCACGGCATATACAAGATTTTTAAAATCATCTATATTTTTATAGAGCTAAACAAATGATCAACGTATAATTTTCTCCAAACCACCAATACTCTAACTGGCTACTTTAATGAAATATATAGGAATTATTTTATTTATCTGTACATATTCATTTCTTAATTCTTTTTATCAATATTCCTTTAGTGCCAACTATGTACCAGGCATTGTGTTAAGTGTTTGTCTCCTATATGACCTAGGCAAAAAGGGTTATATCTAGTCTCTTTTATATAGTATAATGCTATGTTCCAGATAGATGACCCAAAGCCTACTTATTCAGTAAATTATTCTATTATCTAGGAGGAGAGCAGCATAGTGTGCACTAACAGTTGGCCTGACTTCTGATTCAGTATTTGATGGGGTGTACTGTTTGGCACTTAGGTATGGATACACTCTGGTCTTCAAGTCTTATTATTTGATTCAGCCATGGCATTTACCACACAACGTGAATGACTTCATGAGAAGACATGAAGAATCAGAGAGGTCAAGTAGAGAAAGAGTGCTCTACATGGTTCTTAACTATTATTTATACTGATTCTTAAATGATGTCTCAAGATCTTATGATTGACTACTGGTTCTAGTACTGTTTACAGAATTAAGTATTTTTAATACCCAGAAAGAGACCAGGTGAATATCAAGGAAATCTATTAATACCCAAAATGAGTAAAGGAAAGGGAGTTCAAGAAAAGTCTTTTTACTGAGTGCTTGACTCTAAATTTTTGGTCTGACACATGCCAGTTGTAGGAGCATGGAAAAATAATTTAACATGACTCTACCTCATTTCACCAACTATAAAATGAGGCTATAATACATAGACACAGGAACATGAGGTTTAAAATAAGATAAGGATATACAGGGGTGCCTGGCTGGCTCAGTCAGAAGGGCATTTGACTCTTGATACTGGGATCATGAGTTAGAGCCCATGATGTATGGAGACTACAGGAAGGAAAGAAGGGAGGGAAGGAAGAATGAATAATGCTTAGCACAGAGCCTGGCACATAATAATCATTCAATAAATATTAGTCCAGAGTAACATTTTTAATAGTTTTCACAACAACCAAAAGGAGAAAGTATGAACTTTGATGCACAAAAAAAGAAATTCAGTCTCAGGTTAAATTACTTTCCTACCGTCAGAAAACTAATAAACTATACATCTGGGTCACAAATTAGTTGATCTGCCACAAAAAGTGTATGTTTTTTCTATTGTTCCTGTTATATTTCTCTAAGACTTTGTGTGGTTCACTTTTTACTTTCTTTCTTAGGCTGATAGTCAAAAGTTTTAAGTATTCCTAAATATCTTCTCTTTTTTCGTGAGGCCTTCTTTGGGCCAAACAATTGAGATACATTAGTCACCTGTTTCTCTAAATACCTATCCCTTGTACTTAAATTTGCCAATGTACAATACACACTATACACTAAATGTAATTAACAGTTTCCATGTACTGTTTTCACCACTAACTAAATAGTAAGCACCTTGAAGTCTGGCACGTGGTCTTATTTATTTTCCCTACTCCTCAGCACAGTGCCTGGTACATCAAAATTCTTCAATAAGGATCTGTAAGCCTGAACTAAATAAACAGATCCCTGATTCTGTTACTCAGGAGCTTTCCAAATAAGTATAAGTAGGTTAAACAAAACGTTTTTTTTTTTTTTTTTAAAACAATTGGTTGTAACTTTCAACTCATTTTACATGGCAACTCTCAGAGGACACTTCAGAACCCAACTAATGAGGAATGTGATATGCTATATGACAAAGTGGTAGAAGAAGATACTACAATGAAGGTAACTATTTTCTGATCATAAGTGATCACAAAATGCCTTCCTTATTTGGAAGAAATGGCTATGAACTCCCAGCTGCCTAATCTAGAACTTATAAAACAATATATTCTAAAAATAAATCTAAGTTATAGATTATTTGCTACTTTTACTTGGTATACTATTGCTGCCTTGTAATATTTCAACAACTGAATCTGAATGCTGTCATATTACTGCAGTAAAATAAGACTAAGACTATGGATAAAGCATATTAAATTTTACACTTTATTCATTTCTTTCCATAGAAAAAAATTTATATACTTTTACCAAACTAGTTAAGAATGGCTTTCACTCTATTAACAGTAAAGGCTACCATTAAACTATTCAGATAGGTAGATCAGATAGGATGTTTTTGGCTGCAAGTAACAGAAAACCAATTCAAAGTAATATAAATAACACGGTCGTGTTTTACAGCACAGAATGGTAATGTGGTCCAGGGCCAAGACAGGTTTTACTGTTGACTGATCTAGTAACTCAAGTATCTCTGTAAGGATCCACATTGTTTGTATACTTTGCTATCTACAAGGCTGGTTTATTCCTAAGGTTACCTCTCCTCATGGTCAAAAATTGGCTGCTAGTAATAATTTAGGTTACATTATTCCATGTTCACATTTAGCAGGAGCCAGGATGCCAGTGGTGGTCTTTTCAGAAGAATGAAGAAACTTCCCAGAAACTCTTACATACCACTCTTCATGTCTCATGGATCAAAACTGGCTCACATGCCCATTCCAAGAACCATCATTATCAAGGACGATGAGATCATCCATAGTGCAAGCAGATCCATCCCTTGAACTAAGCTCAAATTTCCAATCTACATTGCTGCTACTCAGTAGGGAAAGGTAATTCTAGAGTAATATATTACATCTACTCTTGGAAGACTCAGAGATATTTCATAATTTCTCTGTTTACCTAATAAAACTGAGAACTCATGTGCCAAGCTTTATACAAGATGACTTGGATATAATCATGGAAAAGTCAGACATCATCTTGATGACATGGTTCTTCTGGTTTAGATGGGGAAAACAGACATTAACCAAGTAATCAGCCAGCTGATTAATTACAAATGTGGTAAGAACTATAAAGCAAAATAATGCTATGAGAACAATTATAGGTGAACCTATTTTAGCAAAGGGTAAGGGAGGCTTCCTTGAAGAGGCATCATTCTAACTGCAACTTGAATGATGAATGGACAGAAGGCACGCAGGCACAGGGAGTGAGAGAATACCGGGGAAGGCTTTTTCAGGCAGAAGGAAGTTTTGTTATTGATAGCTGAGTGCAGAAAAGTAGAGCAGGATATGCCTTAAAGGCAGGACTGACAAGGATTCTGTGGGGAACTTTTAAGCCATTGTTACAAGTTTAGGACTTTATCCTAAAGGCAATGGAAAGCCACTGGAAGTTTAAACAGGACAGTGACAGAATTAGAGTTGTTTTAGAGCATTTTGGCTGCTCCTTCTGAAGGAAGAAGAATGGACTAGGAAAAGGTTAAGAGTAATCAGTAGATTAGCAAGAGTTAAAAGGTAGAGTAAAAAGATGAATAATTAAGAGTCTATTCCAGGAGGGCAGGGGAAAGAGGATGAACTCAATATGATGTTAATATAGGAAGAAAAAAGCACAGTGATTCAAGTGGTATTTAAGATAATAAAATCAATAGGATTTGGTGATTGACAAGATGTGGGGAATCAGGGAAAGGAAGGTTTCAAGGGTGATTCCCAGGTCTCTAATATAAATTATTAGGTAAAAGGTTATAGCATTTATTGAGATGTTAACATGCAAGGAGCCAGTTTTTCCTAGAAGATCAAAGTGTAGTTTTTAGACACACTGAGGTTTCTCTTTTACCTTGAGTGACCCTTCTTAAAAACTCTTATCTCCAGACAATTCCTTCTAGGACTGTTCCAATTCAAACAACTTAAGAAGTGGTATTTGCACAAAGTGGAAAGAGGGAGGCAGAGGAATAGGACAGAACAGTATTTCTAAATCCTTAGAAATAGCTTCCTCCTTTCCCATGGGAAAATTACAAATTCTTACATGATACTACATGATACTGCTATTTTATTTATACTGACATTAAAATGCTAAAATTGTTTTGTAGTAAACATCACTAAAGCACTGAAAATTAAAAGACTCAATAACACAAATTTAAATTTAACAAGCAAGGTTCTTTCACATTTATCAGAAATATTCTCAAATATTTAAAAAACTGAGAGCTATAGCCTTTAAGAATATGCCATTTTAGGGGCGCCTGGGTGGCACAGTCAGTTAAGCGTCCGACTTCAGCCAGGTCACGATCTCGCGGTCCGTGAGTTCGAGCCCCACGTC